GATTTACTACAACCAAGTGCCAATGATTTCTGTACTGTGTATATTCATCCAACTGATTTTACGCGAATCGGACTCCCGAATCCTAAAATTGTGTGTCTAAAATACAACCATCCGATAACCTCTCAAACCGATACTATTAAACAAACAAATTTGGCACTAAATTTGACCGCTCTATATGTTAAATCTGGCCACTCTATATATTAAATTGACTACGTTAAATTAATAATTTGTCATTTTATGTTTAAAATTTAAATTTTAAATTTAGCCGCTAAAAATTTTCATTTGTTGGGACTAGGTTGTCCGCATTGTAAAATAAACGACCGATTCCTAGTACATATATAAACAACCGATTCCCTAGTATATTAATTTAATAGTTAACCTAGATATCTAATTTTAAAAACCTTCAGATATTCGGATAAGGTTTTTAAATCCGAATCGCATCACATTTTCATTTACAGCTGTTCTCATAAATTCTGGGACAACTGATAAAAATTTGATCGGCCAAATTTGAATTCAAAAACTTATCGAATTCGGCCGATCAATTTTTATCAGTTGTCCCAGAATTTGAGAACAGCTGCAGTTAGGGTTGAAAATTACATTTTACAATCTTATGTAATTTTGACCTTTTACTAATTACATGGAAAAAATTACACAAAATTACGTAAAATTACGGTAATTTAACAACCCTAGCGGCAGTGATTTCATTAGTAAATATACTTGTTGGCAAAACCTGGACAAATCCCAAACCCCAAAAATATAATCGCTATTTATAAAAAATTGAATCAAAAAAATAGTCTTAAAATTTTGCAGATATACAGGTTACCCCGTTAATATCAACCTCGTTGATATCAACCTAAGCCACAAAACAAATTTTTATATAACAAAATTCCCTCATATATACCTATCATCAACTTTAATACGTATGATTTCTCGTTAATATCAACTATTAACATGATTTAAAACCAATTCAAATAGGTTGAGATTAACGAGGGTAACCTGTATTATATATAGCTATATGTAAATATATATCTGATTTGTTTAAAGATTATTAACAAAGTTTTTAAGATATAAGTTTGGCCAGAGTTTGGTATTTTGGCGCGCTCAAACCCAAACTACGTATAATCGTTTGGGATTTTGCTAACATGTATATTAGTAAAATTTCGGCCTAAATTTTTGATCGTCGCTCTTAGCCAATCAAAGTCAAGAATCTGCCGTGACAAAATTAGTACGGCAGCCAGGTCCAATCAAATAAGTTTTTGTTAATCATGATTTACCTCTTAATTATAAAGTAAGATCAATGATTACAACATTAATAGAAGCATACTGTCAATCAAGTCGCAAAAAACGTGGAACCAAAAAAAGAATTTTTGAATGGAGATACAAAAACTTTTCAATGAAGATAAAAGAACATTTGAATGAAGCTTCTCAAATTATAAGAATATTTTAGAGAAAACAAAATCTTAGTTTCTTTACAAAAATTAAGGTAAAATTTATCGTTATTTTTACCAAAGTATTTCGTTGCGACCATCACGTGGCCGATTCATGTGGCTTAACCTAGTACACTTTAGAAAACTTCTGAACAGAAATACTTGCGTATCATTTGTTATTAATGTTGTGTTCGTTGTAAAATAATTTCTGTATTATTGTTTCTTTCTTAGTATTTATTTGACCTTTAGTCAACTCGAGACTTTCTTTAAAAAAACAACGATCAGTACGAAGGTAAAGACGATATTCAACTCTTTAAGATCCAGAATATAAATGGCTCCCGAAACAAAGAGCCGTAAGCCCGCAAGTAAGTAAAAGGATATATATTAAAACTCAGCATCCTGAAGCATAGTTTGCGTTATCATACTCTATTTATTTTGAACATTAAATAGATACTGCCTTCAAACAACAACGTTTAAAGGCCTGGCAGCCAATTTTAACTCCAAAGACTGTCCTTCCAACGTTTTTTATCGTTGGGGTCATCTTTGCACCACTTGGCGGTCTACTTTTTTGGGCTAGTAACAGCGTAAGTCAGTGTTTATAATTGATAAAGTGAATAATTAAATTAGTTACGGATATTTTATATTATTTGCAGGTTACAGAACTAGTTATCGATTATACTTATTGTGATTCTAGAGGTATTTTATAGTAAAATTAGCAATAAGTTATGATATATTCATTCTGATAAATTTCATATAATTCACATCACATTTTGCATGCAAACATAGCTAGTGATGTTCCTAATTTCAATAATGTGCCTTCAGAGTTTGTGTCAGCAACATTCCCTCAAGCAGCATCCTCTCAGCAATATATTTCAAAGGTTAAATGGGCACGGGAGGTGGTGGTTCCAGCCGAAGCAAAATATACTAATACAAACATTTGGCGTTGTCATCTTGAATTCGTTGTACCCTCAGACTTAAAACCTCCATTGTTCATTTACTATCGTTTAACAAACTTTTACCAAAACCATAGAAGTTATGTCAAAAGTTTTAGCGCCCCTCAGCTTAAGGGCGTGGCAGTTCCTGCAGACACTCTAAAAGATGGACCTTGCAAACCAATGGCAGTCTCCGACGATAATAGGGCCATTTATCCTTGTGGTCTAATTGCTAATTCTAAATTTAACGGTAATTAACAAACCAATGTCTGAAATAATTATTACGTTTATCAGGACCCGAACAATATAAAGCAAAAGGAGGCAGTGGAATATTTCAATTTTATGTAAAAATCATATTATAATTTTATATCTGCCAATTTAAATATCTGAATTCAAAAATTTAAATTGGGAAATATAAAAATGATTATGAAATTTTTTCCATAAAATTGAAATGTCCACTGCTTCCATTTGCTATGGGAGCCCTATGTATAGATTTACATTGGCTTTAATATAAACTTTTATAAGGTTTCTTGATAGTAATTATCCATATTTATAATAAGGCTTTTATACTATATATTTTGATCTCTTACACTATATTGAATAATAATAATAAATTTTTTTTTACCAATTTATAAATATAACTTTTTATAATTCATTTAGATTTTATATACATTTTACTCTTCATAGCTAATAACCACTTTTCCAATAATCTTTTTATCCAAATTTCAACATAACACCTATATTTGAGTGTCGCTAAAAGAAAACCCGAAAATTTAAATATAACTTATATTTAAATTTTCGGGTTTTCTTTTAGCGACACTCATCTGTTGTTCGGATCCTCGTGCTTTTTTGCCTGTGAACAATGAAAATGTGATTATTTGAATTTTAATGGTTGACAAATTAATGTTTACAATTTTTTAGATACGATTTCCAATCTTACACGTATACAAGGTATCGATGGAAGTAATGTGAATGAAACATATGAACTTGTCAGCAAAGGGATTGCGTGGCCATCAGACAAACAAAAGTATGGTGCTACTACTTACTCTTTAGATCAGATTCGCCCGCCACCAGATTGGGCTAGCGCGTATCCCAATGGTGCTTACACCAATGACACACCTCCACCGGATCTATCTACAGATGAACTCTTCCAAGTTTGGATGCGTACAGCAGGTTTACCTGACTTTAGAAAATTATATTCAAGAAATGACTCCACTATATTAGAAGCTGGGACGTATCGACTTACGGTTGATTATAGTGAGTAGTAAAATATAAAATTTTGTTGTTTTATAAGTTATATTATTATTTTTACTAATGTTGTCTGGTTATGTGTTTTAGGATTTCCTGTAACTCGATACGGTGGTACTAAGTCAGTTGTCTTATCCACTGTTTCGTTCCTTGGAGGCAAAAACTCTTTCTTGGGATTAGCTTATATCGTTGTTGGAGTTGTATGTATCATACTAGGAGCTATTTTCACTGCTAGGCATTTGTATAAGCCAAGGTATGTTATAGACTTTTATGTTAAAAAACGAACAATATTTTCTTGGCTTTATTATTTAGCCTATATACTTTGGAAGAACCATTCTCGTTATGAATCTTTTTTAATTTTTTTTT